TATAATGAAATCAATTTTACCATAAGCTAACTGACATTAACAAGAGTTAAGTTTCCACAGCATCTCATCAACATGAAGGAAATGACATTGACCATAACGACCCTATTTGAGGACGAGCCGTTAAAGATTTATCTGACATCACCTCCAAAAAAAACTGGGCTGAGTGTTTCCATAGCACTCTAAGCATCCTTCCATTTATTTAGAAAGTTGGGAAAAGTTTGTTTTTCTCATTCAGTTCACCTGGAGCCACTTGAGGTCAAGGACCATGACGTATTCATCTTTATAACTCTAGGCCCGAGCACAGTGCAAGGCATATAGTAGGCCAAGTAAAAAAATATTGCAGAACTGAACTGATGATAATTTATTGTAAGTTAAAGGAAGGACTGACTGAACTTGCACTTGCAATCTAAAGAGTATACTAGTGGGGTAGCAAATACACATCAATGTGTCAGTAGGGAAGTTTTCCAGAGGGAGTAGTAATACTGCTTTCTCAGTATGTTCGTAGCTACAGTGTAACCTCTTTAAGGGCAAAGTTCAACATTATTTTGAATGTTCCACAGCATTGATCACAGTAATGAACATGCAGCGGATGTTCAATCAAAATTATTTTTTAAAAATATTTTAATAACAGACAATATTAAGTTAATCTCTTTCATTGCACATCATAAAATATTTAAGTATTAGGATAGACTCCAATGTTCTCAAAATCATTTGAGGTTTCCCCCACTCTTGAATATTCTTTATATATGGAGAAAACTACATCAAGATATGATCTGGTTGAACTCTTATTTTGGAAATGACTAGAGAAAAATAAAATTAAGATTTTTCTTAACTCTGGTTTAAAAAGAAGAAGAGTTAGGCTGCAGCTTATTCTAGTCAATTAAACAGAGTCTCTGAAAATACAAAACTAAAAATATAATTTGATTACAAAAAATGTATCTTTTCCTCAGTGATTAATTGCTTTAATTTTAGTGGTTACTTTCAGTCATCATGATTTCTGTTCACACTCTTTAGATTCATCTTGTAGATTATCCTACAATAGATGAATTTACTAACAAGTCATATTTTGTATGACAAATTATAATCTATTCATCTATTCATCTGATCCTGTACTTTTTCTGTACAGGGTCAGACGAGTAATTATTTTAGGTTCTGCAGGCCACATACTCTCTGTCATAACTACATATTCTGCTATTGTCCTGGGAAAGCAACCATGATAATAAAGTAGCAAATAACTATGGTTATGTTAAAAAAAAAAATTTTTAAAAACTACACAAAACAACAACAAAACAAACAAGAACAGGCTATGAGCCAGATTTACCTCATTGCTATAACTTGCCAACCAGTATTTAGTTTATTGTTCTGTTGTTTAGTATGAACATTTTCAAATTAAAAACAAAGAGAAAAACCATATACTATCACTCAGATTTAACTATAGTTAATATTTTGTCTATTATTGATGAATTACCATAAAGAAAAATTTGCCTCTACATAATTAGGCATGGATCTTTAAAAATAAAGATGTATTACTATATAACCTAAAAAAAAAAAGTGATAGTAACTCCTTAACAAGTCATATTAAATTTTTTCAAATATTCCCAAAGGTATTCTATAGCTGTGTTTTTTTTTCTGGTAAGAAATCCAATTAAAGACCAGACACTGTATTTGATTTTTATATATTAAAAGAAAAGCCTCTTGTAATCTAAACAGCAGCCTCCATTTCCCAGACATTTTTTAAATCCTCACCCAAGGATATATTTTCCGTTGATCTTTAGAAGGAGAGGGTAGTAGGGAGAGAGAGAGAAACATCAATGTGAGAGGGATACATTGATTCATTGCCTCCCACATGTGCTTGGGGTTGACCAGGGCTAGGGGTCAAACCTGCAAACCAGGTACATGCCCTTGTCCAGGAATTAAACCCAAGTCCCTTAGGTGCATGGGCCAATGCTCTAATTGTTGAACCATACAAGCCAGGGCTCCCCAGACATTTTTATGTGACTCATTGAGGAATAGACTAATTTCAAATAATGCAAACAAGATCTGGAATCAATACATGTCCTGGGAACATTAATATAGAGTCAAATAACAAAATTTCTGTTTGTATTATCCCTAACATGTTCATCTCAATTTCTTCTTCATTTTTAAGATTTATTTTTGTTTCTCTTATTTTTAAACAACTAGTAGAGCTGATGAGGGTAGATTCGACACATACATGAAATCAGAAGTTCACATATAACATGAAAGCACATTGCATGGAAATACATGAGTCTATGCTACAGGTGCTGTGTAAAGGAAGGGGGGCAGAACAGTCAGTTACTTTAATGAAGCATAAAAGTTCTAGATCATTAGAATCCAGCACCTTTAGTGAAAGAAGCTAATTATTTTCTCTCTTGGGAAGACATGACCGTATCCGAAGCTGTGGGCGAATATAGAACTGTAGACACTTGCGATGCCCTTCTGCTGTTTGCAGTGCCTTATGAAAGAGAGCAAAAGCCTTTCCCAGGAAAATCTTGATGCCTGTGAGAAAATGTTAGTTTACCAGGGACATTCCAAACAGAAAAATAACTCCAAATTTCATGAAATTTCCATGAGCTGAGACCTGTTGGTACCTATGTGGGGGCACACTAAATAAACAACGTTCCTAGCAGACACGGCACAATGAGACCAGGTCGGAAGAGCACAGTTAGGTGACTGTTTAAACTTACAGATAAGGTGGCTGGAAAATGTGAACATGTTAATGAGAGGGCTTTGTGTTGCCTATATTTTAAAGTATCTTAACTTGTTACATTAGAGAATAGGATCAATGAAGGGTCAGGGAAAAGGACTGGACCAACCGAGATAATAGGAGTACTCAAAGAAAAGGGAACCAAGAGGTCTGACTGGAAACTAGAGAGAAGCCAGGGTGCTCTCAGTTGAGAAAAGGAGTTGACTTTATAGGGAGCCAAAGGAGTTGAGGTAAAGAATAAGATAGACGACAAAAGAACTGTGCAATAGAGTAACCACTGGCCACGTGCAGTTATTTACATTTAAATGAACAAAAATTACATAAAGTTAAAAATTCAGTTCCTCAGTCATCGCAGCCACATTTCAAATGTTCAATAGCCAAAAATGGTTAGTGGCTACCACACTGGATAGCACAGATAGAGAACAGAAGTCCTATTGGATGGCACTGTAGTAAGGACATTAAAATAAGTAGGAAAGAGGAAACAGCAGAGGAAGAAGTGAAGGAGGAGGGATGGTGATGCTCAATCTCCCTTTCCAATTTGTGCTCAGTATCACTCGTTCTTATGTGACCGGCAAGATCACTGCTGCTCTGCAACATGGGGTTCTGCCTCACCTCCTCTCAGGAAGGTGCTGGAGAGGTTGCTGTTTTACAAATGCTCTAGTTAGTTGGGATTGTTGGAACAGGGCATTGAGTTAGTGGGGGAGCTAAGGTTGGTCATAGGTGAAGGCCTGTGCACACCCTAGTGCCATGTCCGGGATTCTAGGTCCATAAAGCATTCATTTGCCACTGAAAAGCTGCAAGAGCAGGTTCTTTCATCTCTGTTGTCCAGTGAGTCTTCAATCATTCATGGGCATACACTCCTACTGCTAATAGAGCGCTCAGACTACATCATTGATTGACACTCACTTTCTATCTTATCTAATAAGAAATTTGGCCTGACAGTCTCCTTTTATTTTATGTATTCATATCAATCAATTCTTAGTATAAGCAGTCTTATTCACTGCAAGTAAATAGAGGCAGCCTAACTCCTTCCCTCTCAGCTCCATGATTAATAGCATGAAATTTCAAACCTCTGTTGAGTAACCTTCTTTGTCACACATCTGCAGTGAAACGACAGCATTCCATAGAAGCTCTGACCCTCAGAGATATCCTCCCTTTCTAGGACATTTTATCATCCTTTTGGTCATAATCAACTTCTTATCCAATCCAATAGGTCTTTTGTTCCAGACTGCCATTTAAAATTCCATGGACTTCCTGTCACTCACAAGATTTATACTAGATATTGCAAGGTGAAGAGAACATATCCCCAAAACACTGTCTAATGCTGCCCTGTGAGAGTCACTATTAATTTTCACAAACCTCAGGGCTGCTCAGTTTCCCATTTGCATGTGTGGGCAGCCGTTTCTCCAGTGTATTCCCCATGTTCTAATTGGCTCGCTCTTCAGATTCTTGGCTCTGTGCTTGGGAAACGTCGCTGACTTTTAACCCACCTCACCTGACGAGCAGCTTTCTGTGCTTCCATTAGTATTTCAGGCACAGATTCTCATTTTAAAAATTATCAACAAGATTTTAATTGGAGGTTTTTATCGTGTGGGTTTTTAAATCTGACAGTAATATTTTAATATTCTTTTACTGCCCTTGAAAAAGGCAAAACTTCAAAGAGAAAAAATTGTTGGGGAGAGAAGATGACCATTTAGAGAGAAAAACAGAGACTTCCCTGGACTTAGACTGGTCACTTAAAGGCAGAGGACCTTATAATTGTAAGTATCATAGTTTTGCTTGTATGAATTAATGCTTTAAAAAAAATCCTCACTCGTAACATTAGCACATTTTTGCCTCATAAAGAACAACTATGAAAATGACTATTTTCTAACATCCCCTGAAATGGAAAGTTTATAAATTTTCACTGTGACCTGTGTGTCTGGCTAGAATCATGGGCCAGAACATCCTTTTTTAAAAATACAAGCTTATCTTCCTACTACATTTCCCTTTTTAATGTGAGAAGAAGCTAAACAACCTGTGAATAGAGCATGGGGTGAAAAGCCCCTATCAGCTGTTTAATTCTTCATACTTCCGATTATTTTAAATACCTGCCACTGAAAACCTTCAGTAAAGGAGTGAATCTTCCATGTCCTACAGAGAGCTGGAAGAAGGGTGTGTCCCTAAGCTTTTACCTGGGAGCAATGATGATCTTGTCAAGCATTTTAGGGAGACCAGCCCAAGTTTATAGGGTGGGGATCTAGACTGGTTATACGCACCTTCAGTCATTCTCCCAGCAAAGGCAGAAACACCTCAAAGCCTGCATGTAAGAACATCTACTGAGAAATTATTTTAATCAGACTCCCGCTGAGTGGGGTAAAGAAAAAGAACAGAGAAGAACAAGCAGCACTTCTTGGTCCTGGATGTAAGAGAACCCAGCAGCGATGGGCTGGCACTTCAGAACAGCTGCGGTGCTGTTCATTTTCCTGGTAAGTGGATTCTGTGAAAAAGCCTTCATGATCATTCTCGTTGTAAACAAGAACTTTTTAGAAAATGTTGTTTAGTGGTATTTCTCAACTAACCCCATCAAAGGTTTGTGTTAACGACCAAGTGATTTTATGAACTAGATTTTAAAATAGTGTTTCTTTGATTAAAGACTCAAACTCATATTAATGCATCAGTGTCAACTCATCAATATGACATGTCTGACATCAAAGTCATCGCTAAGTCATTCTGGGAAAATATCGAATTTGGGGAAGTCATTTCACTATTTAATAGCACTTTGTTGTTCAAATTCTCCTTTCCAGTTGGGCTTTTAAAGTAATATCACAGGCGTAACCTGATTTTTAACCTAAATATTTTTCCATTGTTTTGGTATCTTTGCCAGTAGATTCGCTATAATTTTTAGAATATAAAAGTAGTATCTGTATAAATTAAAATTGTATCAGTCTGTGACTGGCCTTACTATCAAAAGAACCTCATTGGTTCCATACGTGGCTGAGATCCATATCACTAATATCAAAAGCCCACATTGCTAAACTCTGATTTTATTTAAAACAGTGTTTTTATTTAAAAACAAATGGCAGTATGGGAGATTTATAAGTGACATAGTAGATGAAGGAATGGCTATAATTAAGAAATAAGTATAATTATCACAATACTGGTTCTTACTAATGGAAAATCACTAATGTCTATGATATAAAAATCATACATTGATGATCAGACCAATGTAATGAAATGTTTTATCATTGTCCCCCTTACACATTATTAGTTTTCTCTTTTAAAAGGTACTACTAAGTACAGAACCAAATGTTGCATCAATTTTGCTTATGTCAAAAAATTTTTAATCACAGTGTCTCTAACAGTAAGGTTAATATTATCCACAGAGGTGAGTGCCAGTTAAATCGCGATCCAATTTGGCAGGATGTATGTAGTGCTGTGGTTCTTATTTGTTTCTACTTGCTTAATTTTTAAACTGGATTGTTGGGTTTTCATAATAACACGTAAGATCTTTGACTCAAGGTATGCTAGTTATTTTTAATTCAGTTTTTAAATTAAGATATATCATAACCTGTGGATTTAGTTGTAAATGAGCATCAATAAACTGGTAGCTTTAGTTCCAAGTTGCCCTTTAAACATAAGCTCTATTCCACAGACTTTTTAGTGGATCTTTAGGATCAGTTGATATCATAACTTGGCATGTGGCAGGGATTGATGAACATAATGCAGGACGTCATTTGAACATAAGAGCATTTGTACATTGTGAAGTATGAAAAAGTTTTATTTTTAATTTTACATAAATTTGATCTATTAAGGCCTATTATAGTTACAGTTAATTAAAGTTTATTCATATGCTTATGTACTTTCACTATTCAGTGAGATACTTTATTTCATTATTTTTATGATTATTTTTAATTACATACTATAAAATTTCTTTAAACAGCCACTTTCCAATTAGTCATTCTTCAGTATAATGTATCATTTTATCAAAATCATGCATCCTTATTGAACTTTCTTTATAGAAGTTTCTGGGCATTTGTATCTTGTTTGCTGAGTCTTGATGAGTTTATTTTGTGTGGGTTGTTTGTTTGTTTGTTTGCCATATTTTACTTAGGCATCAACACAAGTTTCTCACATGCCTTATGAAAATTATTTCTCAAAGAACTTATTCTATGATGAATTAAAATGTTTCACTTTTACTTTACTGTGACATTTTTATAAACGATTTCACTTTCTAAGATATGAAAAATCACAATTTATTTATACAACTTATTTTATCAAATTATTTGGGTAAGTGTCCTTTGGAGTTATATAGTCTATTTGTGCCTTAAAATACTTTTTTCTGAACATTAAACACCACTATAGCAAACTCATTTACCTCTCTGCTAGCGTCACTGTGAATGTTTGCTTTCACAAAAAAAAAAAAAAAAAAAAGTGTATAAAGTCTTTATATTCTTCTCTGTTCAAAGTCTTTAAGTGAAAACCTACAGTAGGGAGCATAGTTGGACACTTTTGAATACCTTTAAGACATTTAAACTGTTATCTTTAGTGCAAATCCATCCGAGAGCTGAGCAGCCATCTATTTGCAAGTATGTTGTGTAGTCTGATCAATATACTTGAAGGTATAGTCCTCGTTCAAATTAGTGGGTTAGATCTGGGAGAATAAAAATTAAGAACCTTCTCTTTTAGTAACCAATATTGGCACATGATTATTCCATTATTTAGACAAGTTTCTTGGACAGACAATAGCTTACACCTGTTATAATACAGCAAGCCAAATAAATGTTCCTGATTCTGTATTTATTTTTCTTTCTCTTTTGTTTCCAAGAAATTAGTGCCTGGGAGGGGGTATTCTAGGCCAGAGAACAATGCTACCTATGCACCAAATAAAAGAAGTCTGAGAATGGTTGTGACAATGTTGTGAGAGGTGGCATGTGGCATGTAGGAAAGCAAGGAGAATTTTTATAGTTCTAATGACTTCCAAAACTTACATGTCACTTTGTCAGGTCCAATGAATAGAATCAATACACTTTCAAAGGTCTTTTTCTATAAAAGCCAACTTCCACAGCAAAGAACTCAAATAAACCTCTCTGTAGTACCAAAAATGATCCAGTTTCTTCAGCACAGCATACTAACCTAACTTCTCTTTCCATACTTAATATTTCCTTTCGAAAAAAATCCTGTCACCACATGATAAACTAAAGCCACACTTCGAACTCAGCTGAAATTATTTAGTATTTCATCAGTAGTTTATCTGAGTATTTCTCAGCACTCACACAAAAATACACATAAAATAATACAGGGGTTAGCAAAAGTAGGTTTACAGTTGTGGGTACACAAATCACAATTAATTCTTGTATCATTATTTATTAAGTATTGTATTATTTATCTGTATTACCATTGTAAACCTACCTTTACCCACCCCTGTATGCACTTTATTACATAATTCATCAACTTACTTGAATTGGACATTTAGATCCCCGTAATTGTGTTTACTGATGCTTAATGCAAAGAAAGGACTAACAAACTGCTACAGACTAAACAGAAGACAAGCAAAAAAAGGAATTCTTTATGCTTTCTTTAGCACATATTACAATGATATATATTATAGATATTAGTATTTCAGTAAAACATTGTATAGAAAATGGAAGCAGTATTTCTGTTCATCTGCTTAGTAAAATCTATAGATTGTATTTAAGCAAAATAATATCTATTTATATAGTGCTCTTCATTACAGATTTAATGACAGATTTAGAACCAGAAACTTGTTTCATCTTTATGTAAATGAAAGGTACACATTTATCATCATTTTTTGTGGCCGCAGAATAAAAACATTTGTGCCATGCCTGATTTAGGCAATAGAAAAACATAAACCATTGGAAAACGCTGCCTTGATAAATCTGAAGGCTTGGCCCCTAGGCAGCAAGATACACCTATTTAACAAGGCTCGTGAACCTAGAAAAATAACACTATTATCTACACCCAAAGCACTTAATTTCCAATAACTCTTTCTTCACTGTACATTCTTCAAGGACATGGTTGCTGAATATGCCCATGCCCTAGTACCATTGCCTAACGTATAAGCAGGAGGCGTACTTGGCATTGCAGTTAGACTTACTATGCTCCCATCAATTACGAAACCCCCTTACAGAATGCTGGGTCATGCCACCCTTTGCTGATTATGCTTGGTATGCAAATTTCTTTAATGGACTTAGGCAGGTCAAAGTAGTTTAAATTCCATTGGCTGCTGATCCTGCCCTCAACTGGTCTATGAGAATAGAGCTCAGTCCTTTACACCTGTCTAATGAAAAACCACATCCCTACTAATTAATGACTGCCTGTTGCTCATAAAACTACTTGACTGCAAGTTAGTTGAGGGCAGGTTCTGTCTGATTCACTTTTGTATCTTTCATAGTGCTTTGCACCAATGCCAGATTGTTCAGTAGATGTCTCATCAAACAAAGTAGAAGCATCAGAAGACAATTTTTGGATAGTTTATATTTTCATTTCCCCACAAACTCCAAAAAATAGTCAAGGTATTAAACATGAAAATAATTATGTTGAGTTTCCCTAACACTTATTTTCATGATGTAGTATTACGTTTACATTTCATCAAAGGCTTATCATAGTATTTACAGAGCTTAAGCTCTTTAAAGATATTAATCCAGCCTTAGATCCACATAATACGCATTCAATATATATTTGTCAAATAAATAAATAAACCAATGAATAAACAAAAGAAATCAAGCTATCAAGAAGTCAGTTCCAGGCTGACAGCTTTCATGCAAGAAATACTCATACAGATAAAAGAAAAGGCTTTATTTAAGAAGCAAATTATTATGTTTTATTTTAGCTATAACAGTTAAATACATTAGTATTTGATGCTTAATAAAAACTGTCAGGTAACTGGAAGATAACCTCACAATTATTAAATGCAAGAGGTTTTCCTTATAAAAATTATAAATATTTTCAAGACAATTTTTGTTACAGGCAAAGAAATATAAAACTAAGTATTAAAAGAAAATAACTGAAAATTAGTATAATTAGAGATTCAATGAAATTAGCCTACATTCTTGTATCCTGTGGTTGTTGGCTTCTTTTGCTTGTGTGTTTTATTCTTTTTATATATATATATATATGTGGGTTGGTTTCTAAAATCAAGATAAAAGAAAGATTCACTGAGGATTCACTTCAAGTGAATTAGTCACTGCTCCAGGGACAAGTCTGGATCATCCAGTATGATATCCTTCAATTTCCCTCTCCTAATCAATTGATTTTAATCTACATCTTTTCACTCTTCCTTACCCTCTGTCTTCAAAGCCCTTTCTTTCTGCCTATTCCCTCCTGGTCATTAAAATACCTCCAGCAAGTACCTTTTCAACCTCTCTTATTTCAAATCATAATCTCCTACTCTTCTCTACCCCTACCTTCAAAAATCCAGATTTCTCACAAAAGTGGCATCTTTATGTTCTCTTCTCCATCTTACTCCCCATTCCTCCTCAGTCAAGGAAGGCTTGTTCCACCCAAATGAAAGAATTCTCCCAAAGGTCACAGAAAACCTTACCATTTTCTCAGGTTTTACTCTGCTCACCTTTTTTAGATCATCTGACACATATTCACACTCTACCTGTCTTTCAGTTCTCCCTTCTATTTTTTTTTTTTTTTGCCAGCTAAATTTTTATTATTTATTTATTTATTTATTTTCTCCAATTTTTTATTAATTTATTTTTGTTACAGATGTTTCTTCTTTTTCCCCCCAGACCCCCTCCTCCCCATCTAGCATTGTTGTCTATGTCCACTGGTTACGCATACATGCATATAAGTTCTTTGGTTCATCTCATCCATCCTATTTTTTCCTATATTTTCCTCCTATTTCTTTGTCCACTTCTTTTCTATTTCTTTTGTTGTTTCATGTTTGTTATCATTGTTCTCAGTTATATAAAGGTATGAATTCCCCTGGTTTCATCCTCAGTCATAGATTGTTTCTTTGCTGTATTCTCTAGGGATTTCTAATTCTCCCATGATTTTCAACCACCCTACCTGAGCAGGTGTCTCTTAAATGTGTGTATCCAGCCTAAGCTATTGCTCATGATGCTAACACATATTTCAATCACTGAACATCTTCACCGGGCATTTCTCTGGTATTTGACACTTGATTTGTTCTAACATGCTAAATTCTACTTTTGCCTTGCTCTTGATCTCCTAGTTTAAAATTGCCATTGCCTGAGACTCTTCCCTCTCTTCACACCCACATCCTACATGTTCTCGAACACTGTCGATTTCAACCAAGCAGTATCTCTCCCTAGATCTTTTCCCGGTCTGTTCCCACTGCCACTGCTCCTCCTCATCCCTGGACTGACTTGATGCAGAAACTCAACTGCTCCTGGCCTGTCATGCTGCCTCTTCCCACCCCCTCCATCAATTGCTGCCAGTCATCTTTTAGATCCACCATTTTGTCATCTTTTTCCCATGATCAAGAAACTTTAATATTTTCCTACTGCACATAGAAACTGGGTGTCAGAATTCTAAAGGTAACAGTATATAATTTAGTCAAGGTCCTGTCATTTTACAAATTAGCAAACTTAAGCTCAGAGACTTTAGGAAGTGCATTGAAAGTTTTATGACTGTACCAAATGCTCTTTTTATCTCATTATTTTGCCTTCAAAAGTTAAAGAGTGACTTTGTTTCAGAGATTATTTTAGACTGAGAAAAAGACAGTATAGTTATGTCAACACAACTTTTTTTAAAAGCAGACTTGGCAGTTTGTTTTAATTACTTTTCTAATTGAGAGCCCGACAGTATGGTGAAACCTACTTGGTCTTCTGCCTAGGTTCCCTCTCATGGGAAAAAGAATGACCCAGCTTCATAAAATTGAAAGGTTAGTCATCTGGCATAGTTCTCCAAAACAAACCACAGGACTGACACTTCAGTATCTTAGGGAAGTACAAGACAGATAACAGATGAATACACAGTCTGTAGCTATGAAGAAATGGCTTCCAAACAGACAAGTAAGGTATCCCCACACCCTCATTCAGCAACCACAAATGAGAGGAGTGATCACTCATGAGTTCAAGGAAGCAAAAAGCACACAGCTGCATCAACATCATTTCATTTCTGCGCCCAAGAAGGACACTACAGTAACATTTCAGTTACTTGTCCAAACCATTTGGGCCATTTGCTTTTCTTACCACCCCCAATATTACTATTATTGTTGTTGTTGTTGTTATTTTATATAAGCATTCCTAATCACAAGGATAATATGATATTAGATTAGAAACTGAATTTTTTCTGAATTCTCAAAATTGTAATGTCAGTTCTCAGTAGTATATTTTATTTAGTAATTTATGTAAAATAATCTATCTTGCACTTAATTGTAAAACCCACACCTCAAGTACAAATGTAGACTGAATTGTATTGCATTTTATGTAGCCATAACTTAAATCAAAACCTCAACTTCCTCATCTATAAAATGAAGATAATTGTAGTATTGACCACATGTACTTGTGAAGATTAAATGCATGGATTTCTCTAAATATGTTGTCTAGTACTTAGTTATCATTTAGTGAATTGTAATGGTGATAATGATAATGATTAATGCTAAATATATCTCATGAGTATGTAACTCCTGTAATAAATATATTATCTTTTTAAACTACTCATATTATCATAATACAAATTTTCTAGAATTATAAATTATGGCAATTTTTTAAAAAATATGTATTTAGACACTAAAATTATATTTTTAATTTAATGGTGAAATTACAATTCACTATAAAAAGTAGTTTACTATATTTTGAATTACTATTATTAGTCTTCTTAAAATTACAAACCATAATTTTATGTCATTAATAATACAGATAAAGCCTGTTTGCAATACCAGTTTTCATACTTTGCAATTCTAAAAACACTTCAAGGAGAAGTTAAACATGTTTTCGTTAGGGAGAAATAAGAACTGAAGATTCACACTGTATTTATTAATTCTAAGTGCAATTTAAACTTAAAAAATACAAACTAGGCTTCAAATTCACACCTAACTTTTTAGATTGATATTTTACAATGTCTTAAGTATACTGATATATTAAACTTAATACATAGCGTTTGTGTTTTCAGAAATACCTTTGGTTTTTAGAGAAAAATAAGTTTAATTACCCTGGTTTAACACTAGAAATCAGATGTAAAGCTCAAGGGCAGAGCTGAGCTGAAACTGGCAGAACTCTGCTTGACTAGCTCATTTAGTGCAGGAGAAGAGAATAATGGAAATTGCTTACCCAGTAATGTGTCCCTATACTCCTAAAATTTCTCCTCGCTATGAAAGGACGAATTTATATAATCTATTTTGTTTAGTGTGAACAATAAAACATCAAATTTGAGAAAATTATTTGCTTTTATTTTAGAATTTTATATTCCCATATTTCAAAGCAAGTAAAGATTTATTATCTTAAGATTTTCAAAAATAACAGAAAATTATCCTTTTAGAATTGGGATGTGAAGAAGCAAATATTTTGGAAACTCTCTGGACACTTTCTGCTTCATATTCTTTCTTCACCCCCAAACACTTTTTTTTTTTCTATTTCCATCTGTGGCTACTCAGATGTTAAAACTATAGTCAAAAGTTTTAGTATCATAACTTATTGTTGAACATCACTAAATATCTCCAGCCCTTCAGGCAAGAAATTTTCTAAGGTACCAGAATTTCCAACTCTCATTCCCACTGGGTTCTAGCTTCAAATGTCCTAACTCATATGATTACAAGTATCTGCGTAGGCTAAGAATAAAAAAGAGGTTAAAAATAAAAGTAATAAAAAAACACAGGGAAAAATTAAAAAGTGAAACTAAAAGGAAAGGGATCCTTAGCATCATTATCAGACCTGAGAGATAAATCAGGTCCACCTGCTATCCAGACTGAGAAAATAATTTTAATGACTCAGATTTGTTTGATTTTTTAATGATTTGATGACATAAACTGTAAAGCACTTAATGAAAAATTAACTATTGTGTTTATCTTATTTTTATAGGTGATGGTAGAAGTTAACAGTGAATTTCGAATCCAGGTAAATATAACAAATTAATTTTTTCAAATTAAAAACAAAGAAAATGGCTTGAAAGTAAGAACATATCTTTGCCCCCCCCCCAAGAAAATTTATCCTTGTAAGTAAAGTTAATGTTACGCTAAAATTAATACAGTATCAAAATTACCACTTTTTCCAAATAAGCATCCTTTCTGACATTATAATTACCTCTCCTACAAATTCTTTAGTAGAATGTGAATTATGAATAAAAGTTAATAGGTACCATTACTTTACCCTGCACATTCAAGGTAAGAGATTATAACGCCAAAAATGGCACCATCAAGTGGCACTCAATCAGGAGGCAACGGCGTGAATGGATCAAGTTTGCTGCAGCTTGTCGTGAAGGTGAAGACAACTCAAAGAGGAACCCAATAGCCAAAGTAAGTATCAACCCCAAAACTTAAGATCAAAAATCAAAATGGGTGAAGTCAAAGTCTCACAAGAACCTACCTTTTAAATATTTTATGAACATAACTCACTGAGAAGTTATGATAATCAAACAATAATCATTCAGATTATAAAAATTGAAGCCATTAAAAGATAAATTAAGAAATTTAAGCACTCAGGTAAACATTGACTTACCTTACGGGTGAAATTAATACACATGATCATTTGTTACCCCAAGCACTGGATTTTAAAAATATAGTATTTTAAGTAATGAATTTACCACTCAGCATATTTACAGGAACTATTTCAATATATGTTCTTTCTGCCTCATAATCTACTAGAATTAAATTCCTACTTTTGGCTTGTTTGTGAACATTCACAATGTACCTTTTTTTATAATCTTTTTCCTTTCACTTTCCTTATATGACTTTGTACACCTACATACACAGATTCACTTATATACAAATATATATATGTACACAGACACACATGCAAACATAACATTTTCACATGATATACACAGAGACATCCCCCATACAATATTTTATTTAAAAAAAAAAAAAAAAAAGAGTCCTGATTTCTACAACCATTTATTAGGGTTGGTCTTTTTACTTTACTCCTAATACAACCTCCTCATTTTCAGAATTAATAGTTTTTACACAGAGTCAGGTATCTTTTATTTTTTAGCTACATAAATCCACCTCAATCCTCACATTTAAATCAGAAGATCAAAGTTATATAAAGACAACCTTGCCAACTCCTTAACAGGGCAGGAGTTCCCTACTCTAGACCTGGTGCTAGCCCAGAGCCTGAAAGTAATACGATCAAACTGTAAATGTTGAATGGATGGATGAATGAATGGATGAATGAATCATTACATAGACTTAAATGTATCAGGGTGATATTTTATTTGTTATTTGGTAGAAATACAAATTGAATTTCTTCTATTATGTGATCAGTTACCACTGAAAATACTAGAGCTGTAACTAGTCCCTAGTCCACTTACCTAGGAAAGTAATTCTCTACCTCCAGAATTTTCCCCAAAATGACAGGGACAGGACATTCAACAACTCTCAAAAAAGACAACTATTATATATCAAACAACAGACTTTTTTTCATCCTGTAATATTTTCAATTGTGCTCTTTCTGCAGATTCATTCAGATTGTGCTGCAAACCAGCAAGTTACATACCGCATCTCTGGAGTAGGAATTGATCAACCACCTTTTGGAATCTTCATTATTAATCAAAAAACTGGTGAAATTAACATAACATCCATAGTTGATCGAGAAGTCACCCCATTTTTCATTGTAAGTGGGTGCCATGTCAGTATACATGTTCAAGCCTCAATTATTTTTGGAATATCTTAAGCTCAGATCATACTTACTTTATTTTAAAAGTCTCAGTATTGGGTATTTTTGGTTGTCTCTTAATTCATGAGTAACTATGACCCAAGAGACACACAGAGAAGATTGAGAGACAGAGGAGTGTTTTGCTTAAGTGCCTTAGCAAAAATGCTAACCTCTGTTCTGGCCCCCGTGGCAAGCTAGAGTATTTGCTTGGGAGGGCAAGTACTCAATTTTTACTTATTTTTCTTTAACTCAGTGGAGAATGTCGGTTCCCTCTAACCCTAATGCCAGGTGATGATTCTGTAGCTACTATGGGAGCCTTTCCTGAGTAAACATACTTTAATATACATACACATTGCTCTAATCACCTGAGCACAGAATTTGAAAGACTTGTTCCCCCTTAACTGAATCTAACTCTATTCTTCAGGGTACCTGTGTCAAAGTTGAAGTGCTTACTCTTCAAACCCTTCACCTCATTTCTATTTTAAGCAGCTGACCTTGTGACTAACTTCATTAAAAAATCTGAGGCTCTCCACCACAAACTCCTATAATTAATTCTCTCCACCCTCAGGTTCTACATTCAATCGAAAAGCAAGATGAATTTTCTGTTTGTTTTTTTTTAGTATATCTCAAGAGTTTCCATTGTCCCATAGTTACATGGTTTTACAAGAACCTTATTGTATCGTATTTGTTTTTTCATATCTCTTCTGCTCTCTCTGTGAGTAGATTCCTTCATGGTCAGCCTTGTTAATACTTAAAATTAAAAACAAAGAAATAGGCTCTGGCTGGGTAGCTCAGTTGGTTAGAGCATCATCCCCATATGGGTTTCTATCCTGGATCAAGGCACATACCAGAATCAACCAATGAATGCATAAATAAGTGGAGTGATAAGATTCTCTCTCTCTTTCTCTCTCTCTCTTTCTCTCTCTCTCTCTCTCTCTCTCTCTCTCTGTCTCTCTGTCTCTCTCTTCCTTACTCTCTAAAATCAATGAATAAATAAAAATTTTAAATAAAGAAAACTTGTCATGATCTTATAACCTCTTCTGTTAAAACCCATTAAATCCATATCCAAAGTACTTTCAAATACTAATCTGTTTGCTGCTTTCACTCATACTGCTTGTCTGTATTCCTAACACTATTTTAATTTCTCAGTCTTCTATTCAAAATTTATATTCCTGCCTTATTTCCCACAATGTTTTCCCCAAAACTCTCTAAATCAGCATGCCAGCCTATTTGCTTTTTTAAAAGTACAAAACATTTTTAAATGAAATATATCAAATAGGTAAAATAGTATACATTATATTATGTACATGTCTAATAACACAACAACACAAACACCCATATAGCCACCACCTAGCTTATGAATCTATATTTCTTCGAAGCCCCAATGTGACTCTCCTGTACCATAGCCTCAATCCCTAATAGTTCCTATTTCTATTTTCAAACAATGTATTTTCATCACTTTGTTTCTTTCCTTACATGAATCCCTTTGCTTGGAACACCCTGCCAAGTCCTAGCTCCACCGGTTGAAATTCTCTTTTAAGATCTGTCTCAATCATTACATCCTCCCATGATGTCATAGTATTTTTGTTCTTCCTTTTGTAACTGATCATGTTACCTTTTCTTCAATGGTATTTTCAGTACACGTGTGCCTCCTCTTGATTAGAAGTACTGCTTGTGCTTACACTTCAGTAGGACACAAAGTCTTATTTGTCTTTTAGTTACACAGTGCCTAGTATAGTGTCCAAACAAAGTACAAATTTAATATTGGTTGCATCATATAACTATTTCTTTCTTTCTTTTTTTCCCCCAGATCTACTGTCGAGCTCTGAATGCACAGGGCCAAGATTTAGAGAGACCTCTTGAGCTCAGAGTTAGGGTTTTGGATATAAACGACAACCCGCCAGTATTTTCTATGTCTACTTTTCTAGGACAAATAGAAGAAAATTCTAATGCAAGTAAGTAATCAACTTTATTAGGTAAGCAAGAATATATTGGCTTCCAGATGATTCTTAACAGCCAGTCAACTAAAGGCTAAATTAAATGTAAGAGATCATTATAGAAAAACATGCAGAAGACAAAGGCATGAGAACGTCTCCATAAAGGCTTTCCCTTCAACTGCAAAAGCAGCTTGAATCTGTCATATGCAAAGGGCAACTCCAAAGTAATGAAAAGAATGTTCTCACGTAATTCTCATACCACCTCTGTACCAGATTCCTAAGGAAAAATTCCAAAAGAACTTTGCACAGTGGCAGGGGCGCTGGGAAAAGAAGTTTGCCTCCCAGCCTGACTGCTTTGAAGGGCAATCTCATCAACTTGAATTCATACTGCTTTTTCTTTTTCTTTTTTGAAATTTTAACTACTTTAAAGTTACTCATAGAAATCACTTTCAGGCTATCTATTTTGTGATCATAATCTTTAAAAGCTTTTATGGACAGCAAACACATGCAAAACAAGTATTGTTTCCTCTTCTATATGATTCAATATATATAAATTTTGTTGGCTTTTTACTCAAGTTACTGACTTTATGTATTTAAAACGTGTTGTAAACCGAATCCCATTTGGCCCAGCAGCATATTTAAAGCCTATTGTCTCAGTGATGCTAGTAGCGAGGCACCAGAAAACCTCTAACGCGACAGAGCATTTACGTGCAAGAGTTTCAGAAGTTCAAAGGTGCAATGCCTCCCAATGGATTACTGTAAATGGCAACATTTTAACTGCCAAACATTCAGTCACATGGAAGAGACGGTATATCAACTACTTAGCACACTATTGAAGATTGTCCTAAATATATTAAAACAGCAGAGATCATTTCTCATTTGAATTCAAAACATCAACTTATCATGGTTACTTTTAAGCTTTAAATGGTATAACTTCTTATATAAATTTTTAAAATCCTTATATTTACTTTTATTCATTAAAATACTCTACCTACATTTTGAACTTTTATTTATTTATTTATTTTTTATCCTCTCCCGAGGACATTTTTCTATTTTTTGTTCAGATAGAGTGGGGAGGGAGAGAGAGAAAGAGAGAGAGAGAGAAACATTGACGTAAAAGGGACACATCGAGTGGCTGCCACCCACACAACTCAACCAGGGCCCGGGACAAACTGCAACCGAGGCACGTGCCCTTAGTGGGAACCGAACCCGGATCTCTCTGGACCGCAGGCCTACGCTCTAACCGCTGAGCCAAACCGGCCAGGGCTGAAGTTTTAAAAATATCATTTGAACAATGTTATTTTGAAAAAATTCACACAACAGAAAGTACAAACAGGACAGAAATATGTGTGTGTGTGTGTGTGTTTTCTGTTCAGAGGCAAGCATTATCATTAGTTACTTAGGTACACGTTTTATAATTACATAAACATATATAAACACGCTTTTGGAAACTTATGTTTTTGGAAACTTTTCTACATACTAATACTCAATGTGAACATTAATTTGAACATATTTTGAACATATTTCCATATTAAGAAATATAGATTTTCTTCAATCCTTTTAACATTTGCCTCAGATTCATTGTATGAACATACCACAATTAATTGCCTTTTGAAAACACTTTTTATTTTTTTAAAAAATTGTTTTCCCTTCATTGATTTTAGAGAAAGAGGAAGGGAGAAGGAAAGAGAGATAGAAACATAGATGAGAGAGAACATCAATTGGCTGCCTCCTGCATGCTCCCCACTGGGGACTTGAACTGGCAACCTCTTGGTGCATGGGTCGATGTCCAATCACTGAGCAACAGCATCCAGGCTGAAAACATTTTTTAAATGGTGCTGAAATGAAGAGGGAGAGAGAGAAGGAGAGAGAGAGAGAGAGAGAGAGAGAGAGAGAGAGAGAGAGAGAGAGAAAGATGAAAGTTACTCTAGTGCATTTTTGTCTATAGAACACAGATTGTGTTTAAACCACTTTGAGTGTAGAGAAGAATTCTAGTTTATGAACACTGGCAGCCTTTCACATTCTTCAGTGTTCTTTCAAAACTGCTGATAAGGTTATTGGAGAAGATAAGGAATAGGACAAAGTAGGGACCATCCAAAACAGAACAATAATATATATTTACGGAGTGCGCATTATTCAGTAGGAACTGTATCTAATTTTCTCTCATCAAGCTGTTTAATTCTCTCATGAACTCAGGGAGAATGGTCCTGTTATCATCCCCATTCACAGATGTGGAAACTGAGGTGAAGATCATATACCTAGGAAGTGCTATATAGTTGAGAAACAGTTGATCTGGCCTTAATATCAATTTGTTTCACCACAGCAGCCTTAAAAAAACATTATACTAGAATAAGAAATAGAAAGGCAGAATAAAACATTTCTTTGTTTTCTAACCACCAGTAATATCTAGGTACTTGGTAAAATGTGATTTTTTTCTCAATGCAAATGTATAGAAAGGAGCTGAGATATTAATATGTTGAAGAAGTAGAAAGCAAAAATGGTACAGTGCACATTATATGAATCAACTCACCCTAACACCTTGTTGGAAAATTAATATGAATATGCTACCCTATAACAAAAATGCAAACTGTCCACTTCCAATCAATTTTCCTTGATTTCTAGATACACTGGTCATGAGACTCAATGCTACTGATGCAGATGAACCAAATAATTTGAACTCAAAAATAGCCTTCAAGATCATAAGCCAGGAACCTTCCGATTCACCCATGTTTATTATCAACAGATACACTGGAGAAATTCGAACAATGAATAATTTTCTAGACAGAGAGGTAATTTCTTTTTCTTTGAATGGTTGTTAGTTCATAGGAACTGATTCTAAAAGCAAGAGTACTGAAGAAGTGGAAAAAAAGAAACCATATTTAAAACTTTTAATTACATAACCTTTTCACGTATGGTAACGACATAGAAATATCTTTAAAATGAAAATATGGGATTCCTCACATACATTTTATACTTTCGTTTTTCATTTATTCTTACTTAGGATGTGTCTCAAATTGAGAAAACTATATTCTGAGAGTACATAAACATATGCATAAAGTAGAGGCAAAAATCTATTTTTAAAAAAAAGAGTTCTCTAAGGAAATAAATTTAAAATCCATTTGTTATTATATCCTCTATCTTGCTGAATCACAATGCATTCCATCATGGTCGAGGCTCTAAAAATTTTTTCAGGCTATAAAACTTGTTTATCTTTCTTTAACTTGGAATATCCTAAATTTATCTAACAACAGAAATCTTTTTTTTTTTCCTTCCCTGTGTTGCACCTACTTATGTTCCATTGATTACTGTGAAAAATGAATCACAGGAACAGAATGATAGATAGAAATTACGTAACATCCAGATTAATCTTTTCATTTACAAATAACAAAACAATTAGTGAGTATTACCTAATTAGAATCAGCATTTACATGGTTTCTATCATGCCATGTGGTCCCACAGCTTAATGTAAAATACCAACTTTTCATTATTTTAAAATAATATAGCTGACCTGTATGTATTGTAGGGATATACATGAGAAAGTTTTGTTTTCTAATTAATACTCAATGAAATGTTATTTTAATCATTATAGTTATTTTAAAATGGCATTCTCTTCTTAATGACCTAGAAGTTTAGGATAAATCAGATTTTTTTTTTCTTTATTGGTTTTAGAGGGAGAGGAAGGGAGAAAGAGAGAGAAATAGAACCATTGATGACAGAGAACATTGATTGGCCACCTCCTGCATTCCCCCCACGGGGGACTTGGCCCACAATCTGGGCATGTTCCCTGACCAGGAATTGAACCAGTGACCTCTTGGTGCATGGGACGGCATTCAACCACTGAGCCACGCCGGCCAGGCTAAATCAGATTATTTTTACACTCTTTAATGATCTAAATGCCATCAGATTCTAGTTTATCTATATCTCCTTTTATACTTGTTTGAAAATTACCATCAGAAGAAATGGACTATTTAGCTCTTTTTCAAACTTCCTTAAAGAATCCAGTGAAACTCCTTTAATGTTGAAAGAGTTTGAGCAGTGAAGAGCTCCAAAAAGTCAAGGAGCTCTGAAGTCACTGGGAAGTGACCGGAGCAGAGAGTCTTAACCTGGCGTCCAGGGAGAGACCTCAGGATGTCTCTAACTATGAATCCTCTAAGACTGTATCCCAGCTTTAAATGCAAATATGCTTGTGTCTGGAAAAGGAGTCATAGCTTTTACCAGCCTCTATACATTTAAGCACCATTGAGTAGCATCAAGAACCTAGATCATCAATAATTCTGCCACAACTGTCACCCCTCCAGAAATGCAAACCATTTGTTATTTCTTTATTCTCGCACAGTCAGGGACAGATTGTTAAAGATATGAAGTTTTCATGCCAAAATTCTTAATAAACCTTAACCTCTTTCTTCCTGATCGTTTTGACCCACTTTACCCTTTATGAATGTTTTCAAGTTCTGAGCAAAGAATAAGAAATAAGGCCTTTGAAGAATGTTGCCTCTTTCAAATGAGGCTGAATAAGCATTTGGGCAACTAGAACTGGCAAATTTCATATTGATTCATGTGTGATTTGTGAATTTTCAGCTATCTGTATTATCCTGATCACCGCCATAGATTTATGTAAATTATGAGCCACATTTTAAAAGAACTTTATAGGAGACAGAATAAGGCCTGTGTGTATCAACTGTGATATTGTCTGTAATGTGTATTTTTAGCAATATGCCCAATATTCTCTTGCTGTAAGAGGCTCAGACCGAGATGGTGGGTCAGATGGTATGTCAGCAGATTGTGAATGCAGCATTAAAATCCTCGATGTCAATGATAACATCCCATACATGGAACAGACTTCAGTAAGTATCTGTCTCTGAAATTAGTAACTTTAAATTCATCACATTCTAAAATTTGTTTGAACAATCCTCTTTACAGATGTCTATGTTATCTTTAGTCACATACAACCCAAATGTAGACATGTACTTTGTGCTTGTTTATATAATGCACAGGGGGATAAATATTTGAACAGTGAGAAATGAGACTATAATAATGAATAATTATAAATATTCAATATGAGTCTAGTATAGTTCTCTCATTCACACAATCTATAAGGCTTTTTTGCTTCTTGTTTCAGTATAACATAAAAATCGATGAAAATGCTCTGTATTCAGACTTGCTCCAAATTAGAGTCATTGATTTGGATGAGGAGTACACAGCGAACTGGATGGCAGTAATCTTCTTTATCTCTGGAAATGAGGGAAATTGGTTTGATATAGAAATGAATGAAAAAACAAATGTGGGAATTTTAAAGGTTGTTAAGGTATGATATAATGATACTAAATATTTTTGTTCTCTTGGCCTTTTCCAAATGTTCATCTTAAAATAAAATGTTGAGATTTCACTAACTTGAGTGGATGAATAAAAATTCCTGTTTTAAAATGGTATATGATATAGAGCTTTTACATAGAGGGGTTTTCTGCTTATATAGTTTCATGGAAACAGGCATTGAATTTTAACTTGAAACTCTTCTATCAATACAGTACTCCCTCCCAGATCATGTCAATTGAAATAATTTTTAAACAAGAAAGTATTATTTTTTCTTTATTGATTTTTTTTGAGAGAGAGGAAATATGAGAGAGAGAAACAGAAACATTGATGAGAGAGAACATTGATTGGCTGCCTCCTGCATGCTCCTCACTGGGAATTGGACTCACAGCCTGGGCATGTGCCCTGACCAGGAATCAAAGCAGCGACTTCTTGGTGCATGGGTCCATGCTCAACCACTGAGCCACACCAGCTGGGCTAGTCTATTTTTTAAATGTGTAATAGCGCCCTGGCTAGGTAGCTCAGTTCGTTAGAGCGTCTTCCTAGTGTGCCAAGGGTTTGATCTTGCATATACAAGAAGCAACCAGTAAATGCAGAAATAAGTGGAATAACAAATCAATGTTTCTCTCTCTTCCTTCCCTCCTCTCTCTCTCAAAAAATCAGTTTTAAAAAAAAATTGAAAAGGTGGTGCATAAACTCTTTGTGATGTGTACAATATGGATTCTTCATAGTAAAATGTAATTCCTTTTTCACTATCTTCTTCCTCTAGCATAGTCCTCAGAAATAAACTTCTAAGGAATTCTGTCCTCAGGGGAATGTGTAATCATTTGTTTCATATTGTCATAAAGTGGCACCATGTCCATAGCTTCCATTTGGTGAGGCCAAGTGCAAAGGCGTTAGTTTATTCCTCACAGCATCCTTCCATATTCTTTCCACTATACTACCTAAGATTCCATGCCTGGGAAACTGAGTCCTAAACTATTTCACTCCAAACTCCTATATTACTTTAGAAAATTCATCTACCTGTCTTCAATACTGTGAAATGGGAATGATTTTTATTTTTCTCCCAGATATGGCATCACATATTAATTTATTTTTTATGATTATATACTACATGTAATAAGTATGTGTGTTTGTATGTAATGTATATGTATACATGATTTTATAGTCATTTTTGAAATTGCAAGAACAGCTAACATTAGAACAAAGACTAAAATTTTTAGCTAGGTAGTGTTCAATGTATGAATCAATGGTTATCTAAATGACTCTCAGTGAAAATTTAGGAAAATATATTTGACATAATGCATAGTTGTTTTGGATATTATAAGTAGTTGATATTAACACCATCTTCTATAATGAAAATGACTATTTGGTTATTTTAAAGATGAAATAGTTTGTTCCAGAATATGTTGAAGAAATACGAATTTCTCTTTATTATTTACATGCTACAGTCTAGCTCCTAACTTACTGAAAGAAATCACATTTATAGAAGTAAGATTCTTCTAAATAGTGTTTATGGATAGAACCAGTCAAATGATGGAAACTACAATGTATCTGGCCCATACTTTGTATAAATAGAACTACTTTCTGAAAATATAAAATGATACAGAATAACATAAACTGTCTTTGCCCTACAAAATGCAAGGATTTGACCATTGATATTATTTTCAGTTTTTAATTTGGTGGACAATTCAGACCCATGTCACACTTTTTCAATGTTTTCAACAAAGGATACAAGACAATTGGGCATTATATATATATATATATATATATATATATATATATATATATATATATATATGTTTGTGCACTTGTATTGGATTAAAAATAAAGAAAGAATGCATTGTATGTATTTATATTTAATTAAAGAAAGAAGCATAAGAATTTATTTGCCTATTATCAAAGGATTTCTTTTTCTTCTAAAATGTTTTTCTTCTTCTAGTAAAACTATTTCACTCTGTATTTTCTAGCCCCTAGATTATGAAGCAATGGAGAATCTACAACTTAGCATTGGTGTTAGAAATAAAGCTGAATTTCATCATTCAATTATGTCTCAATATAAGCTCACAGGGACTGCAGTCTCTGTGGTTGTGAATAATGTCATTGAAGGCCCAGTGTTCCGTCCAGGTTCAAAGACATTTGTAGTAACTAGTGATAGAGGACAAAATTATGCAGTGGGATCTTTTATAGCTACTGATCTGGACACCGGTATGGATTCAACAAATGTTAGGTAAGACTGACATGTTCCAACTAATTTTCATCACATATTGAATTAAGTACATATGTTCTTTTTAGAAAATTTAAGTATGAATTAAAATGTTTTTCATTATTTTAAAACTCTCGTTTAATCATAAAAAGTACTAACTACTGAATTATTACTTAATTTAGAATGCTTAACTTCCAAACATATAAAAATTTGTGCAAAATATAAGATGTAAAAATATGAAGATGTAAAATGTGAAAATATTGTATCTTTAAACTTTGACACCCCTTTGTTTATATATTTTATTGACCAAATTAGCTCATTACTATTTATAGGTTATTTACCCTGGAAAATTTTGTGGACTGAGTTTCCCATTGCAAATTTGCCCAGATTGTCAACTATATTTAGTTACTTTCTTTACTTTAATCAGCACTGAGTACTGGCCAATAATAACTTTGGTATGAAAAATGAATTAGAGCAAGGAAAAATCATGCTACGTAATTTTTTTAAACTCTGTATAGCCACATATTTCTACTTGATCATAAAAAAAATCTGTGTGTATAGGTGCATATCTGTTTTAAACATATTCTTGTGATCAAGAATAACAATGGGGGAAAGACCTCACATATCAATTTTTAAAGTTCTTTCTCTGTATTCTTCTCACACTATGTGAGAATTTCTGTTATAGCTCTTATCACACTGTACCACTATTGCTGATAAACTCTCTTTTATCCATCAGATGTGCATTCACGGAGGGCAGATCATCCCCACTTCCTACCCCCTTCCCCTGTGTCCTCTCAAAGTTCTGTTCCCTGAGTTTAGCACAACACCTGAGACAATTACTAACAAGTATTTATTTAACAACTGTAAATGAGATAATTAAAGACATCAAAGTGAAAGATGAGGAGAGAAAGAGAATAGAAAACAGGACAGAAGCATAAGGAAAGGACATACATAGTTTGGAATTCAAAAGTCCTGTAAAATTATTGTGTGTGTGGAGAGGAGCAGTGGAAATAGAGAGGGGATGATGGCCAAGCAGATAAAGAAGTAACTTCTTTGGTAAGAGAATAATTTTAAAGTATTAATGAGCTCAGGAAGTCCTAGGATCTGGGTCTTCCAGCATAGTTCTTATGCTACCAAAATCAAATGAAGACGAGACTGCAAGCATCAAAAGATTATTCTGAGATCCAAGTGGGCATAAGAGACATTCCACTAGAAATGACTGCTCAGTAATTCTTTTTTCTTAAAATTACATCTTTGTCTATTTCTGAATGTCCTCAAATAGCTGGGACTGCCCTGAAAAAAAAAAGCGTCTGATAACTGAAAACTTTATTCAGGGGTTATAACTACTGCCTAGAAACATGTTTTATAAGTAAAACCTTGCTGTATCTCCTTTTTAGATAGCTGACCTTGATTTGTACTATATCTTTCAAATGCAGATATGTAATGGGAGATAATCCAACAGATCTGCTCTCGGTTGATTCAAAAACGGGGGTTATTACTTTGAGAAATCAAGTTACCTGGGACCAATATAATATTCTTGGTGGAAAATACCAAGGAACAATTCTATCTATAGATGGTAAGAGATCAATTTAACCTTTTTTCTTCTAGAAAAAGCTTATATGTGTGTGTGTGTGAGTGAGTGTGTGTGTGAGCATGTGTGTGTGTGTGTATGTATTCAGAAATTAAAATTTTAATCATTGTATTTTGATGTAATACTTTTTCCAACTAAAGTTATCATATGGGGTACTATAGAATCAAATCTTTAATGATATGAAAGAAAGTATAATTTAGTGAATAAGACCATTATCATGAGCTCTGGAGTGAGATGAATTGGTATCTTGTACAATCACTTAACTAAATAAGGATTTTTGAGAAGGTATGTAACCCATTTATCACTCAGTTTCTCTCCTACAAAATGGAACAATAACAATATTGATTTAAGGAGTTATTACATGTAAAGCACTTAGACTTTCAATAAATGTTAGTTCATATTCATGTAAATAATTGAACTTTTTAAATTGTATGTATTGGCCTGGCTGGTGTGGCTCAGTGGTTGAGCGTCAACCCAAGTACCAAGAGGTCACCAGTTCAATTCCTGGTCAGGGCATATGCCCAGGTTGTGGGCCCAATCCCTGGTGGGAGGGTGCATGAGGCAGCCAGCCAGCCGATGTTCTCTCTCATTGATGTTTCCATCTTTCTCTCCCTCTCCCTTCCTCTCTCTCTAAAATTAATTTAAAAAAAAAATTAAATTGTATGTACTATAAAATCATTTTCAAATAGGTCAGAAGCCAAACTAACTTAACTTTACATAATCTTTGCAAAGTTGATGTAAAACTTTGTGTAAGCAATTTGGAGATAACATGTTTATATTACATTTCTAAACCAACAAAATTAAATTAGGCTGGTCACTGAAGGAGGAAATTTTCTAGAGACTAATTCTACTAAGCAATACTTGCTGTTTCAGTTGCTTTTTCTCCCTTCCTTTCTCCTCTCTTTTTCTTCTTTCAGTTATCTTAAGAAGGGGTTGGCAATTTCTACTTGCTTTACAGATTTAAAAAATTATAAATAGGATTTCTTTGAAGTCATTCAAACTTTCCGAATTTTTACCAAATTGTTTTTCCCCAATTAGTCAAAATAAATACAAATGGAAATATGATTCCTTTTATAGATAAAGCTTATTTGGATTCAGTTTAAAATGATCTTAAGTAATTGCTAGTTTACTCCATTCTTACATCCAACATCAAGCTTAATAGGCGGCATAAAGGGAAAATTCGAACTTTGCTTACAAAATTTTTAGGCTTATGGCAAACAGAAAGCATGACTTTTCTCATTAAAAATGGGAATAGCGCAGCTGGTGTGGCTCAGTTGGTTGAGCATTGTCCCATGCAACAGGAGGTCATCAGTTTGCCTCCTGGTCAGGGCATATGTCCAGGTTTCAGGCTTGATCCCCAGTAGGAGGAATGCAGGAGGCAGCCATTCCATTGATGTTTCTATCTCTCTCTCTTTCTCCCTCTCTCTTCCTCTCTCTAAATCATTAAAAAGGTTTTTCTTAAAGAGAATATTACATGTAATGATAATGATGAAAATGACAACAAAACTAATAACATTAGAATCAGCATAGCTGAAATGAAAGGGAATGAAATTAGATAAGACTGGATTTAAACATGTCTCAGTTATGTACTACCAGGGATGTCTCGATTCATTAAGTCAGAACCTATGTATTGAATCCTAACCAAATGTCAGCGATTGTGCCAGGTTCTATCTAGGGTTACATCAAGGAACAAAGTCTAACAACAGAGCTCACATGTATGTCATAGAGATAACAATGATAATGTCAAACAAAATCTTCCTTTTTTACCCAGTTTCAATAATCTTAGGAAAATTCTTAAATATAAAAGGCTGAATTGGTTACTTATAGCATTCTCTATAATAATTAAATATTGAAAGCAATATTGATAATAGGTAACTGGATAGAAAATCTATCATCCACTTAATATAAAATTATGTAGCCATCAGAAACTATTTTAATTACTTTTTTAAAATGTGGAAAAATTCTTACAATGCAAAGTAAAAAATATAAAATAGAATGAATCATATAATCTATCAATGTAACTTAAATAGTTTGTAAATTTTAGACATTTATAATTAAGGCCAAAAGATAATACAACAAAATATCAACAGAGGTTGTTCTTGCGTAGTGCTGCTGTGGATCTGTTTTTTGTTTTGTTTCTTTATATAATTTTATACTTTTCAAATTCTATACAAGATCCAAATACTTATAATGTAAAGAAATAATCCAATAGTGTTACTAGTAATATTTAATAATAAGGTGGATTTTAATAATTCAAAAAGTTGTTGAGAAAATTACATTCTATGACACATGTAAAATACCATAGTAGGCACATAAGTATTGTGACTTCTCTTCCCTTGCACTTGGACAAAATATACTTGGCTTTATATTACTTGGGTTTATAGATAAGAGTAGTGAAGTGTGTATATAATTTTAAAAAATAAATCATATTTTTTCATAGAAAGATATGCTACTGTGACTATTGCAGCAAACTTAGCTTCATAAATATGGGTTGCATAATATTTAAAAGATGAAGTGTTTAAAATATTAAAAACAATCTACATGGTTCAAACGCATTTAAGATAGCAGAAAAGGGTCTGGCGAATGGGGGAAATGGGGAAATGTTGGTCAAAAAGTACAAACTTCTAGTTATGAAATAAATAAATTCTGGAGATCTAATGTACAGCATTGTCATTATAGATAACAATATTGTGCTGTATACTTGAAAGAGTAGATCTTAAATTTTCTCACCACAAAAAAGAAATGGAAACTATGTGATATGAAAGAAATGTTAGTTAATGCTGTGAAGGTAATCATATTGTAATACATAAGTATATAAAGTCAACACATTGTACACTTTAAATTTACACAATATTACATGTCAATTATAGTATCTCTATAAAATGGGGGGAATAGATAGAAAAAAAGTTAACATGGAATTTTAAAAATTGCTTCAGTGATAACCACATGTAAATATTTGCAAGTAGGCTATAGAAAAGGATAATGTTCTATCAACATCTTTCCTACACTGTAGAAGAATTATTATGACCACTAAAGTCTAGCCTAATAGCACATGTCGGTGAAGCAACTTTCTTACATGGTAGATGCTAACCTTTGGAAATTTTATTCTCTGAAGGAGAAAAAAAAATTACACCTGGAAATTTCAGTAATGTGGTTTTTCTGTAGTGAGCAATTGTTAATTATGAATTTTCATATTCAAATCCTACAGAAAATAAATAATGTAGATGTGATGAATAAGCCTATTTTAAAGTAACTTAGAGAGAATTGAGCAACTTCATACCTACAAAATGCCAATACAAGTAGATTCCATTCACTTAAATAGATGTGAAAATTGACTGATTTTTAAAAATCAAATGTAAATGACCACAGCAATGTGTTTTTGATGTTGATCTGAGCAACTTTTCTCATTTAAAAATATCATTTTTGTCACCTCTCACATATACTAATTTTTGTTATATTGTTATAGAATATATGACTATTTTGATAGTTTTTAATGGAACAATTTTATTGCAAGATAAGGACACGAATATAGATTCAAATGTATTTTTCATTCAACTTTATTGAGGTATAATTTACATATAATAAATACAACCTTTTTAAGTGTACAGCTTGATGAGTTTTGATAGATGTGTACATCCATATACAACTGCCACAAATGAAATCTAGAACACATTCATCACCACAAAGAGTTCCCTTGCTCCATTTTGCAATCAAGGCTACAACTCTATTTTAGTACCAGGCACCTGCTAATCTAAATATAGATGTATTCTGAGGCACTACCTTTTGTATCAAATGCACCCAAAAATCACTCTACTGTTTTGAAATACTAGTTGGTTGGTTGGTTGGTTGGTTGGTTGGTTGGTTGGTTGGTAGGTTAATTGGATAAATAAACAGCAAGTGTGGAGCAATAAGTTAGAACAAATAACAAATTCCCAACCCCTGTATTTAGTCAAGGAACACAGTAACTTACTGAAACTTTGAAGGACAAGAAGAAAGCAAATTTGGAATATCTGCTTGTGAAACAAAGCTGTTTTACCTTCTTTATGGAAATGGAAAATTTTCCCCCACCTCCAACAGTGCCAGTGCCCTTTCCTATGAGTTTTTGGTTGTGAGTTTGGGAATATGCTGTTTTATCACTAGGAAATTTTTGTAGAAATGATTTAAAACCTGCTCAAAATCTGTTCATTTTGTCAGCTCATAAAAGGAAAAGAACAAACATAATTGAAGAAGATAGACAATAAAACAACAACCAAAAAAATTTAGCTCTCATGTAAGAAATATGAAAAAAATATAGTCTAGGAATGCTTCTATTGTGGCTTATAACACACCACTGGCCAATAACATACATAATGAGGTGTTTACTGTTTATGCTTCTCTGCACATGAGACAGTTTTTTGGGGGCAGTAACTGTCATGATGGCTTGATTTAAAAAAATGAGTCATAAATAAGGGATGACTTGGGAAGTTACTGAATGAATGGGAATAAAGACACTGAAATAAATATTGATGCAAACAAAAGAGTTTTGTATTGTCCAACAGTTATTACACTAAATTTATAAAATATTTTCCATTTTGAACCTTGTTACAGATAATCTTCAAAGAACTTGTACTGGTACAATTGTTATTGATCTTGAAGGTGACGGCTGGAAAATTCCTGGCACTACTCCAACATATGAAGTTATTTCTTCTACAGATGTATATGTTTCTAATCAGGTTACTGTCAACAAAGAAAATGTTGGTGGAGGAGAGAGTGGCTATTTAGAGGTGCCCATGTTCCCAGATAATGTACATTTTGGTCCTGCTGGCATTGGGCTACTCATCATGGGATTCTTGGTCCTAGGATGTAAGTACTTTAACAGTCTAATCTTTGTGTGCCCCCCCCCCAAAAAAAACCTGTGAAACGTTTTCTAATCTTTTGATAAAATATACTTTATAAACTCTTATTTTGTGTAATTATCAAGATATTTCTACAGTTGGTGCTGGATCTATAAGATTTTAAAAATCTAATTGCTTGGCATTGAAGGATTAAAAACTTTTTTGCACCCTGGAGGGTTTGGCTCAGCAGTTAGAGCATTGGCCTGTGGACCAGAGAGTCCTGGGTTCAGTTCCCACTATAGGCACATACCTCAGTTGCAGTTCATCCCCAGCCCTGCTTGGGGTCATGTGTGTGGCAACCAGTCAATGTGTCTCTTTCACATCGATGTTTCTCTCTCTCTCTCTTCCTCCCTCGCTCCCTCCTGCACTATCTTAAGATAAATGCAAAAATGTCCTTGGGTGAGGGAAAAAAAAACAAAAACTTTTTTGCATTCAGTCTCAATATGATGGGAAATCTCATAATAGGCAGGTCAAATTACTATTTGAGTGAAGAAGTCAATGAGAAACAATTGACTGAAATAGTCAGAAAAGCCTACATAGAGAAAGTAAAGTCTGAGTTGGGTTTTAACAAAACTGGCCTTATGACCAAAACAAAAAAGGGGAACACAATACAAGGAGAAAAATAATCTATGTGCAAACCCGCCAAAGAATAGGAGTGCTCATTACTGAAATGAAGGATTCCAATAAGGAAGACATAAAGGATGTATAAGACTGCATGGTGACAGTTGAGACTACAAAGACAGTCAGGGGCCAGCCCCTGAAGGGATTTCATGCTATGCTAAAACTTAATGAAAGGGAGAGTCAAATAGGCATAGGGTTAAACTTCAGCTTCTAAATGTAATTGTTTCAGTCTTTCAAAGATTTGCTGAGCCTCGTTTTTACCATCTGTTACTACATAACATTGCTTTGATGATGAAAAAGAAGTACCACACATGGAAACATTTAGAGATTGACCACATTTATGGTCACTAAGGCAAACTTAGTCATGTATCTAGCCATGAGACTATAATATCCAATGGATTCTAGGTGATCTTCAACATTGCCTTGGGTGATGATAGAAATTAGAGTGGATCTGAGCTAGATCCTACAGTCTCTGAGGAATGAGAAAGGGAGCTCTGAAGTCATTAGGTTCATATCTGCACATTACTATTAAATTAATGTAAACATTGTCATTTTTCAAGTATGGAATCATAAAATATTAGTGTCAGAAGATACCTCAGGCATTATTTAATTAGAACACATACACATAAAATATGAAATTAGAGCACTCTTATGAAATATTTTTCTACCTTTATTTCTCTTAATACAATCACAGCTATAAAATAGATAGTTCACACTAAAATTATTAGTAAACTGGATTCTTTTTTATTTTAAATAACTTCCACCCCTTTGAATTTTTTTATCAAAATTAAATTAATCTAAACCGCAAAGACTTTGGACACACTGACCGCACAACTTAAAAGTTGAAAATAAATCTCAAAAACAAGAAATGTCTATGTTTAGTAATAGGATTTCATTCTTACTAGCTCATAAGAATTGAAATAATGACTGTGAAGAGTTCTATGAAAGTAGAAACAAGGTTAAAAAAAAAAAAAGAAAACATTCTGGTCAAATGAACCAACACAAGAAAAATACTAGTAAATTTGTAGAATGAACATAAAATATATATGAGAAGAGATAATGACCTAATTTCCTGTTTTTTTCTTATTGATTTTTAGAGAGATGGGAAGGGAGAGGAAGAGAGAGAGAGAAACATCAATCTGAGATCAAAACATCAGTCAGATGCCCCCTACTGGGAATCAAGCCAGCAACCCAGCCATGCTAGCAACCTTTCAGTGCACAGGATGACACCCAAACAACTGAGCCACATCGGCCAGGGTTCCAAATTCTCATTTTTTAACATATTATCAACCAACATTTTAAAACTTTTTAATTAAATATTTTTCAATGTAACCTTATTTATCCAGGTGCTTTTTTTCTCTACTGCAAAAAATATATAACTTTAACTTTGAGTTTGCTCTTTATAATGGTGCCTACCTTTGGGCACTGTAGTTAATAAAAGATTTATAAATTATATATATGGGCTTTAGAGTCAAATACCTCTAGATTCAAAGCTATCTCTAAGCCTGGCATATTTTCAAAGAAGCAAAATACCTGGAATTTTTTTTTTTCTTCTTCCCTCTCTCTCTCTCTCTTTTTTAGGAATAAAATATGTGCATTATTTGTTACACTGAAAAAAATGACCACTAATAATCATGACTTCTGGCTTATCTCTAATGAGTTAAAAGCATTAACAATAATTAGCATACTACAAATATAGTTTCTTAAACACCATAGATAAATTATTTTACATACATATTTTAAACATATTATGTACTTGTGTCACAGAACATTTTTAAACACCAAAAACTTACAAAATAGTTACAACTGGAAATAATACTGGCAAAGTGCCCTCTGTTTTTATCCTGGAGACACACCATAGACATCTCAGGTTAAGAAAACTTTGAAAAATGTTTTGTACATAAGGATGTTTTGGGGCAGTGAAGAGAATAACAGTTTTCCCTGGGGCTTAAGAGTCAACAGTTTAGTCATTGAATATAAATTTAGAAGGTGGTAGCCCCTGGGAGTCAGAGTCTGAGGCAGGAAATCCAGCACAGGAGGGTTCTAGTTTCTTCACTCCCTTCACAGAGCTCAGCCCAGGTTCCCCTAGTGAAAGAGCTGCTGCGATCACTTCTGTTTCAGAAGGGTAATCAGGTGATAGTGTGTGATGTTTTCATCCTATCAACTGCAATAAATGATCATTTGTGAGATGTTTTTCCAATTTAAAACACAAATATCTGTATCCCAAGAGACAAATCAGCGGGCACTGTTGGGAGTCTGCGGGTAAAGTCTGCCCCTCACCAGTCTGTGGGCTCTGTAAGCAGGAAGCATGGAGGGTGTCGAACAGCTGGAGTTCAGCTGTCAGTGTGGCACCACAGAACTGATTCATTATAATTATAGCTGTACTCTCTTTCTTGGCAATATAATATCACTGGAGGCTTTTCACTAACAACTGACTCCTGTAAATGCATTTGGGGCACAACATATTGTCCTCCAGGTGCAGGGGAGGAAAGTCTCAGGGAGGCAGTAAGAAGAGTGCAGACTCCCCCCTGTCTGTCAGGAACCCAGGCTTGCTCAGCAGCTCCCCCTCTCTTATTACTATCCTTAATACATTCCTCCCCACCTACCTTGTTTTCTTCTTTCCTCTTTCTCTCCTTGACTATTTTCTTGTGTAATGACAGGCATCTGTCTTAACAGTATGATACTATTTGTCATCTGAATCCAATATAACAAATTAAAATAGATTGTAATCTAGTATACTGAAGCTCACATGGATTTTCGTATCTCGCCATTATTCTGTTTATTTTCTGAAATCTTCATAATAATTTTTGGGATCAAATGGGGTTATATTAGGGATTCAAAGGTATTCACAAAAAGCAAATTGTTCTGTTTTAATATGGCCCTGCTGCTAATTTCAATATTCCTATCTTTTCACCGTCAGTGGTCCCGTTTTTAATGATCTGTTGTGATTGCGGAGGTGCCCCTGGTGGTGGAGCTGGCTTTGAGCCTGTTCCTGAATGTTCAGATGGAGCAATTCATTCGTGGGCAGTAGAAGGACCAGGGCCTGAGTGCCAGGTAAGTGCCAATCTGTAAGAAATGACCTATGGTAGTCACATAAACTCAGTCTTATGCACATGAAAGAGGATGTTGGTGATCACTCACAGTCTATGCTATTCTTTGTTCTGGGCTAGTCAATGGGGAAAATGAAGAGAAATCAGAGGTACATCAGAATTAGATGGAAGTAACTTGGGGAAGCTTTCTGAATGAGGTTCCTGTTTTAAGTGGATTTCAAAAGTTTCCTAAGTAGTTTTCTTTCAGAAAATCTGAGGTAATTTGAGAACTAACCCAATATAAAACTATAGATAGAAAAGACTCATTACAAATGGGAAAATGTTGTTTCTTGTCTTTTAGGGTCTGACCACCATCCCTATACCACAAATACCAACAGGTGCAAATATAATTGAATGTATTGACACTTCAGGTATGTTTTTTTTATTTTAACAACTCAAATGATTCAGAAGGAATTTGTTCTCTCTTTACATACTTCACTGTTTCTCAATTATTTTATTTGCCTTCAAAATTGTTTTTATTATTTATTTTTAAATGACTGATTTATAAATTAAATGACAAGGGAAAACCTAGAGTAATTATTATTCTTATATGTTGAATTTATTTTAATTTTCCTTAATCATCAGAGAGTACTTAGGTAATGGCCTGATTAGGATATCTATAAATAGGAAAGAATAACTGAATTGTAACCACAAGTCTATTTTGGTTGCTTTTTTTGTCCAATAAAGAAAATCTTACCCAAAAAATACTAATTAGAATTAAAGTACAACATAATTAAAATAGATCTGTGCTTTATTGAGACTAGAATCTACCTCCACAATTTATGAATGCTTCAAAATCATTTTGACTTCAGCTATCATAACAAAATTAAAAACTGTATCCATTCTCAGCATGAGCATCAATATTGACCTGAAAAGATTTGTCCAGTTTCTCAGATTTGAAAGTAAGTGGATGAAACACTAACAAAATCTTTGAAAGTCTCATCTGAGGTCGTGTGCATATGGTAGACCTTCTCCTAGCACATGGGTAAGACTATCAGTGCAACTTACCTCACGACAGAGGTAGGTCTAGAGCCGTTCACAGGCAGAAACCAGGGGACAATTAGAATTTCACAGTAAGTGAATAACTACCACTCTTAATATTTAAAAACTTCTCATACCTTTGAAGAGTTGTACCATCTTTTTTTTTTTTCAAGGTAAGTAAATATTGATTCTCTTATTTTTCTCTCAGTCTTCTTCAAAGTTGTAATCATGACTTTTCTTCTTTGAACTCTTTAAAATGTGAGAGGCACAGGAATATTTATAACTTGTAGCACTGGACCTTATTCAAAAGACTGGACATGCTAGTGTTTAAAATTATTTCTCCTCCTGATGTATCCAATTTTTTTAATGACACCAACATCCCCCAACCTCAAAAGTAGAAACTCATTCTCTTCTATCTTTTTGTTCATTGATATCTAATCAGTTCTCAAGACTTGTCAATCATCAGGTTATTTATACCTTTATGCTCTCATTAAGTCTCCATATCTTTACACAAACCTTGAACAAAGCACAATGAGAGGCACCATAGTGACAGAAGTATGGAAAACAAACTGTTCCTAAAATCAAAATTTTTAAAATATTAAGGCATGGGACACTATCCCATGTCAACAGTTCCCCTGTCCACGGCACTACCATAGTCCAAGTCATTGTTTATCTCACTTGCTTAGAATGTTCTAAGAGACTTCTATTTACGCCTCACATCCAAGTGCAAATTCAAAACTCCCATGCACACCTTTCCCCCTCAGCCATGCTTCTTCTCTGAAAGCCATGATTCCTGGGCCTTCTAGAGGTCCTGTGCTCCTAGTACATCGGGGTGTTCTTGTGCTATTTATCTTTTAGAATTTAGGTTATTTCCCCCCAATTTCAGTTAATTTAAAATCAAAATCTCATAGTAAGTATATATGGTGCCAGTTGGGTAATGGAAATATCAGGGGGAACACTATAAAGTATATGATCTTCTAATCAATATGTTGTACAGCTGAAACTAATACAAAATAATATTAAATGTAAACTGTAATTAAAAATTATTTTAGAAATTAAAAATTAAATAAAAAATAAATAAAATAGAATAAAAAATCTCTGAAGCACAGGTTTTTGTAATCACTATGCAGCCCCTCACTTCTAGCTCAACATATATTTACCAACAAATAAGTAACAACAATAATTACCAAGTTAACAAATTAATTGATAATATTATTTTGAACTCAATATCATATTTATAGTTCCTGTATTTAGGTATTACCTTCATTTTTTTTTTAATTTGTTCACCAATGCACACTTAAATGAAGAAACCATATATTAGAGTAAGTTACTGATATTTGATCTACACTACACCAGATAAAGTAAATTTAATTTGATCTTTACTTCCAGGGGTTTACACAAATGAGTATGGTGGCAGAGAAATGCAAGATATGGGAGGAGAAGAAAGAATGACAGGATTTGAACTAGCCGATGGAGTTAAAACATCAGGAGGACCTGAGATATGTCAAGAATATTCTGGAACATTAAGAAGAAATTCTATGAGGGAATGTCGAGAAGGAGGTCTGAATATGGGCTTCATGGAAAGTTACTTCTGTCAGGTAAGGGCGCTAGCCCCATGCCGTCCTCTCCATCCTGTACCCACTGCTATACTCCAGGCTCCCACTATTTCCAATGGGGCTTTGGCAGGCATCTCCTTGCTAGGTCTCCAGATCTAGCCTCTTTTTTTTTTTTTAATCTTTATTAAAAAGTATTAGTTGAAAGTATTAGAGATGTCCCCACTTTTTTCCCCAATTGACCCCCTCCTCCTCTCTCCCTCCTACCTCCTTACACCACACTATTGTCTGTGTCCATGGATTATGCAAAGAACATATCAGTTCTTTGGTTTATCTCTTCCCACTCCTCTTCCCTCCTTCCCTCTGAGGTTCTTCTGTCTGTTCCATGTTTCCATGTCTCTGGATTTATTTTGTTTGTCAGTTTATCTTGTCCATTAGATTCCACATATAAGTGACATCATGTGATACTTGTCTTTCTCCGACTGTCTTATTTTGCTTAGTATAATAATAATCTCCTAGCCAGGTTCCCATCTTCTAGTCTCTATGCTTGACGATCCATAGTACTGCTAAATAATAGAGCTAAAATTCTGACCTAGGCCTGTTACTCCCCCACTTAAAAACAGCAATGGCTTCCAGCTGTGTTTTGTCTATGGCATGAAGTCCAAATTCCTTAATGTGGCAAATAAGCGTATTCACAGATTGACCCCTGCCCTCACTCACATCTCCAGTTACTCCTTACTGCCAATCCCACTTGTCAAATACCTCTGCCTTATTCACATAGGCCTATTGCCCTCCATGTCTTTGTTTATGCTGTGCCTGTATTGGAATACTTTTATCTGATCATCTCTTTCACAAACCCTTGCCCATCTTTCAAGACCCAATTCAAATATCACTATCTCTGAAGTTGTTATGGTTATCACTTCACCCAAAACAAGATTGGTCTTTCCTTATCTATATTTCTGTAGTACAGATTCTCCTTGGGTTAAGCCTGTCATAAATTGAAAATGCATTTAATACACCTAACCTACCAAACATCTTAGCTTTGCCTAGCTGGTTTCCACTGAATGCACATCACTTTTGTACCACCGTAAGCCAAAAAAATAAAGTCGAACCATTGTAAGTCAGGAATGATCTGTACTTTGTCTACACATTTTATAGAACATAACCATTGCTAAAATCAGTTTGTTTATATGTCTACCATACTTTTTTGGTGCCTCAACTGCATGCTCTCCATATTATGTTGCCAATGTCCAGCTCTGTTCCAGGCACATAATAAACACTCAATAAGAGTGGGTTCCAAAGTCATAGTACGATTCCAGAACATTCTAAGAACCATTAAGAATTAATTTTGCCATCCCCGGGTAGAGACAGAATTGCCTGGGTTACATGTCATGTGATATTTAAGCTTTAAGGAATCTTCTGTCCCTAATACACTTACGTTATTCTGCAGCCTGGCTTAAAATGCCTTTAAGAACTCTCCTAATGGTTTAGATGGTGGCTGATATTTTGAAATAAGATACTAGTAACAGCCTTTCGAATAGCAGTAGATAATAACAAGAGACCTGTTGCTAAAATCCATAGAAATACTTCCTATCCAAGTTTCTACAAATGAATATTATTTCCATGAAAATTACAGTTCTGCCTCAAAACTTTTGGACCTTCTGCTCCTTCTGCCCAGAACATTCTCTTTTATTTGCCATCACTTAATTCAAATCTCTGATCAAACATCACTTTTTGAGATGCCATCCTTGACGACTCTATCTGAAAGAGCAATCTCCACCACTTTCTATTGTCTCATCCTACTATATTTATAAGCCTTATGAGAGAATTTTATTCTATTTTATTCATTACTTCATTGCCAAGTTCCTAATAGAATATCTGGAAAATAGTAAGGCCCCCAAAATATTTGCAAATAAAATGGCACAATTAGTTGGTTTGCTAACAAAGGCACTTCTGATACTTAACCTGAAAGTTTGCAAGCCATTATTATGAACTATGCAGGTGAATAAAAGTGCATATATCTGTGTGCTTTCACTTTTTGAATTTCAAAAATTGTCTTTGGTCACCTTAATCTAAAAGTGGCATAGACCCAGGGTTAAATTTTTCTGTTGTTTTGCTAAAAAAGGCACATTGGAATAAATTTCACAGATCCACCATAATTACTCCATTTGAAGGACGGAAAGCACAATCCTGAATGACCTCAAATCAGCTATAAACTACCTTCTTCAAATAAGCCAAAAAAATACACAATTTGGTGTACTTCAAATTCAGCATTTTTAAGTGCCCTCTTCTAACTTAGCTACAAAGCAATTCATGCAATATTTTGTGTGCTTTTGTGTTCAAAGTGCACTATTATAAAGTCCATCTAATACATTTCTAAATCAAAATTTATTATTGGAATTACGGTTAAAATAATTTCTAAGCAAATTCCTTCATGCAGTTATATGATTTTTAGAGCATCTCTAGTAGATGTTAGTTTTGATTTTTCATATTCTTCTTTGGTAATGCCCTTTAAGAAAAAATAAAGATAAAGACTTCTATTATTGTTAAATATGTATTTATGATTTAATTTTCTCTTTCCTCTACAAATCTAGAAAGCATACGCATATGCAGATGAAGATGAAGGACGCCCATCCAATGACTGTTTGCTCATATATGATATTGAAGGTGTAGGTTCCCCTGCCGGCTCTGTGGGTTGTTGTAGCTTCATTGGAGAAGACTTTGATGACAGCTTCTTGGATACACTGGGGCCTAAATTTAAGAAGTTGGCAGATATCAGCCTGGGAAAAAGTGTTGAACCATATCCAGACTTTGATGTTTCTTGGCCACCTGAGAGCACGGAACCAGTATACCCTCAGCAGGGAACAGAGCCCATTGCTAGTGGACACCCACCCATCTCCCCACGCTACGGCACTACCACAGTCATTTCTGAGAGTGCCTACCCCTCAGGACCGGGTATACAGCATCCTATGGTTATTCCTGATCCTCTGGGCTATGGTAATGTCACTGTGACCGAGTCTTACACCACCTCTGGCACTCTGAAGCCCTCTGTCCACGTTCATGATAACCGACATGCCTCAAACGTGGTAGTGACAGAGAGGGTGGTCGGCCCAATCTCTGGTGCCGATTTGCATGGAATGTTAGAGATGCCTGACTTAGGAGATGGGTCAAACGTGATAGTAACAGAAAGGGTAATAGCACCTAGTTCAAATCTACCCACCACTTTGACCATCCATGATCCTAGAGAGTCTTCCAATGTGGTGGTGACAGAAAGAGTAATCCGACCAACTTCTGGCATGATGGGCAGTTTGAGTATACACCCCGAGTTATCAAATGCCCACAATGTAATCGTGACAGAGAGGGTTGTTTCTGGCTCTGGCGTAACTGGATTTAGTGGCCCAGCTGGGATCATTGGAGGCAGTGGCACAGTCAGCAGTGGCCTGGTTAGCAGTGAAGCTGGAATAAGTGGTGGTGGCATTGGGATGAGTGGTCTGGGAGGAGGCGGGGGCCTAAGTAGCAGCATGGGGGGGACAGCCGCCATTAGCCATATGAGGAGCTCTTCTTCTGACCATCACTTTAGCCAGAACCTTGGGTCCGCCTCCCCTAGCACAGCCCGAAGTCGAATCACCAAGTACAGTACAGTGCAATATACTAAGTAGCCAGGATTCCAGCACACTTTTTCTCAGTAATTGTGACTTAGCTTCAATTCCCACCACCAAAAAGCTAACAACTAGGTACTAAGGTTATTGCAGAGCAAGATGAGAAACCACAGTGAGAAAAATAGATGGAAACCGAGCTGTCGGGTAAAAGCTCTCCTTAGCATTGGTAAACTTTTTTCTTATATTAATACCAGTGGAATCATGATCATGAACTAAATCTTGAGACAGGGTTTCCTTCATTTCTATGTGGCCTGTAGTGCATCTCCAGCATGTGGAAGAAATAAAACGTGGTCATGTAAAAGCACTGGCCTTAAGATGGCAATTAGCATAATTCTCTTGCTCTTATTTGATTTGCCATGTATCTCTTGCAATATTTAAAAAGAACTAAACATTCAATGTGTTCATGTATGTGGGAAGAATTTGAAATTTGTGTCAAATGCCCTGTCAGTTTCACAGATAATATAAATAAAAATCCAACCACATATTCAGACCATGGTTAACCATTAAAGAAAAAAGAATCTTGTTACATAGCCAAGTCCACAAACCACGAAGCATTCCTACCTTAATAACTGCACTAGGTGAAATAAATCTCAAATTAGGAAACGCTTCCTGGGAGGGAAATTCCATAAGAGTGGCAACAAGGTGAGATCCATTTGGGATAACTGACCATGTCTGAACTTGAATCTTGAGATGGGGCTTCAGCTAAAATTCTTAGGGAGTCAAGACTTTTCTGCTTCTAGTTTGCATTTAGTGTAGACGCAATATTAATTACTATCGCCTACTGGTGAGGTTGCAGGATATCACACTCATTTTTCTCTTTACTGCTGTGATTCTGACTTAATAAAGGAAAACCTGCCAAGTATACTTCTCAGATTTAAGCAAATAACAACTGACATGGTTGTCCTCACTAGTGGTAGTCTACCTTGCAAGGAAGCAGACAGGAATTGCATTGTATTTTCAGATTGTGTTTTTAGTAACTATTATTCATTTATATAAAGCTCTTTATTGTACATCTCCTAAGTTAAAATGCTTTACTTAAGCTGAGCTGTATGGTTACGCTTTGGGGGAATTTTTAAAAGGGGATCTAAAAAAAAAGTTTTTAGAACATGTAACATGTTTAATGGGGAAAGTTAGAATTGTTCAGTAAAGTAATACTGTACTATTAGTTTGAATTGAGTTTAATACTTTCTAAACAACCCTCTGCTGCTATTTTGAAGGGCTCAACTAGAAACTTTTAACAGAGTTGATGATATTGTGTTAACACAAATGAAATTGTACTAGACAACCCCTTTTCTTTATTCTATCTCACTCCCAACTGAATTTTTGCACTAGCATAAATTTTACATTCCTGATTTGATTTGTCAATACACTCTTGTTTTATACATGGTCCAACTTATAGATTCCAAATTAAATCTTATGATATATGTTTCTAGCTTCAAATTTTAATAATGTATATTTCTGTAAGTTTGCTATATAGTATTACCTGGTTAAAAAAAAAAAATCTGTAAATAGAATCAAAGCATTGTTAGACAGAGGTAAATTTACCACTGCATGGTAAAGGAATTTTTTTCTCTTTTCTAAAATCAGTGTTAATGTGGGTTCACTAAAGTAAAACTGGATATGACAATATATTTTAAGGGTTATTACCTCCAATTACTCAAATTTCCTAGGGCATTACGGATTAAAAAATTAGTTATTCCATTTCCAACACTTGCCAAAGGGGGCTGGGGAATGAGTTATTTTACGTAGAGCTGTCTAGCTCTATGTTAATAGCAGATGATGTCAATATTTTCAGAGCCACAGTATGCATCATATTTAAACTCTGTAGACTATGTGAAATTGTGATGTTCTGTAGCATGCCAAAATGCAGAGGTGTAAATAAAGTCATTCACAGGGAGTCTTTCTATTATTTCTTTCTCTTAGTTGGGGGCTCCATTAATGATGGGTACTTTTTTCCAGAAATAAAGCCAAAGGGTATTTATTCAAATATATTTGAGTATATTTAGGTGCAGGAGTTTGAAGAACTAAAAATAATTATTAGTTAATTAATTAAAGGAAGTGATATCTGATGACAAGTAGCTTACTTGTCACTTGGATATGACATATTATCAAAAGTGTTTACTTGAGACTCCTGATAGTGTCCAGATATGTTTTTTAGGTTGTCTAAAAAATGCCAGAATGACCATCTTTAATAACTGTTGATATTAAGATCCATTGGTTACATAAAACCATGGGAAATTCAAGAAAAAAATAGTAATATTATTCATCAATTTTTCCAGGAAAATACTTTCCACTTAAATTGTTTTTTGTTTTTGTTTTTAAATTACACATTTATATTATAACATTTTATTCCTGAATTTTAAAATTACCTTTTAAGATATCAGCTAGTCTAACAGTCATTTGAAGGCATGTTGTTTTTCAATGAACAGCCTTTTGGCAAGAATTCAATTCTTCCCTTTAGATGCTTTACTTTAATTCATAGACCTTAGGTTGTTCCATACACCTAGGAAAAGAAATAGATATTGTTTTATAAGGGAATAGTTATTCAAATCCAAATTGAAAGCTGAATCTCGGATCAACTTGTCTTAACAAAAGAGAAGAAATAATGACTTAAATATTATGTATATGGTTCGAAACTGTTTAATGTCTATAAAGCATTTGACTTCTAAAGAGGTAGCTGTTGGGGGCAAAAATTAGTGCATTATAGATATTTATGTTATCATTTAATATCAACCAAAATACCATCTAGAGCTAATTTTTACCCTGTATTTAAGATATATCTGCTGCATGTTATTAACCTCTGTTTATGTTGCTTGATCTAACTGTATTTGCACTGAAATTTTTACAGGAAAAAAGTAAATGTAAAAAGTATTTAGGGTTTTGTATAGGTATTCATCTGAACATCTGTTCTATATTCATGTATAAAGTCATAATCTTCATTCAATGTAATGATTTGACAGAATTTTAATTATATAGCTTCAAAAATTACATATTCACTCTGACTCAAAGTTTTTAATTATCTAAACAATTATTTTCTAAATTGATATCAACATTGAATGTCAGCCAGGCTATAACATATATGACACCCCTTTGACTTTAGTAGGATATTAAAGGTGTTATGATCATTAGCTAAAATGACTGTGGCTATTTGGGTAAGACATTTGAAATAAAAAACAAACTTTAAAAGTATTACCACATCTTTTTATGTCTATTCCATAAGTTTCAACCTTTTTTGGAATTTTTAGCATTTCTAAGACCTACTTCACACTGCACTGAAATACACCCGTCTATATAGATTTAGCACCCATGAAATAGAAGCTGTCTACCAGCTCTAGATTATTCAATTTACGTTAATACAAAAGTATAAATGAATCAGGCTGCTATGTATTAAATAATTTTAAAACAATAACCTATTGTTTGCCTACAGTCCTTCTTTTTAGTTATATTAAAATTACTAAATACTTTATCATCAAGCTGTACTCAGTCTGACTTATTTTTCTTTTGCTATTTTACAAGTATTTTAAAATGCTAATAGTCATCTTTGGTAATGCTTAAAACAAGATACATTCCTTCAAGTTTCAACATAAAAGTTTGTGAACTATTTGAGTACTAGTTCCTTACTTGGTCATCTGTTGGCTCTTTTAAGTTGGTTTGTAATTCCAAAGAGTTATGTTTACAACAATAAAATGATTAATACTGTTTTTATTATCTTTTCTGAATTGTAAGTGGGGCTGGGTAATAATTAGAGGAATAGTTAGAGGTGATCAACTCTAGTTCTTATTTTCAGCCTGTATAAGGTAAGAATTTTGTTTTAATTTTCACGAAGTTAAAATTTATTTTCATTTTCTATTTCCTTTTTTTAGTTCATAGGTACTGAGGAGCCCACTGTCCAGAGTGCTGCTTAGTAATGTCAGGGCACAGCCTTGAGCAGCCCCGCACAAAGAAGTAAACAATGAATGGCTTGTGTTTATAACTTGTATTGGATACTTTAAGCACCTTTATGCTTTTATCTTTCTCTCTTTGCTACTCTAACTTTTTATTTTTGTTTACACTAGCATTTTATTTATTTTAGAATGGCTTTTCTTTTTATTTGCTTTTAAAATCATACACATTCATCTTTATTGAGGTGCATCTCCCCTTGGTTCTCCAATGCCACTTTTCAAACTATTATCATCTTCAGCTTGCACAAAACCTTACCCTTTTCAGATACATGTGGTCTGCTTGTATCCTCCTTCCTCTAGTCTCTGTGTGCCATTTACTGACCTTTTTCTTAATAATGTCCCGCTTTTACCGAAAGCTCAGATTCTGGCCCACAGTCTTCTGGGACTTCTCCAGTTTTTGAGGGTGTTCATAGTAACTTAAGTGACTACGTAGGTGAGGCACTGAACACTTCAGATTCTTAGTTCCCAGACCCCCACTTTCTCCTCTCCACCTCAAGCAGCCTCTTCCTTCTCATAACCCAGCATGGCAGCACCTTGAATGCCTCAGTTTTACTTCCTTCTTATCTTTCCAACTCACTTGCTTAAGTAATTAAGGAATTGTTACAATTCCTCTCCTTCATCAAAACTTTTTTTTTTCTACTACCACTTTCTCACTGTCTGTTAGCTTCATTCCCTCCTTATCTAATCAAGCTTTAAGAGTCCAACTCTAGTCACCTCTTGGTGAATGCCTTGACCTCCTTGTTCTGCTGCCCCACTTACATATCCCAAATCTTTCACCCTCCATCTCTGTCTGCACACAAACAGATAAACATAATTCAAGTGAGTTGACTTTTTCATTTTAAATATGTGATCTCAATCACAAAGTAATGTCTACTGCTTCTTTATAATCCTGATTCTTTGATAAACTTTCCATCTCATTAGACTAGATTACTATTCCACACCTTCTTTGTCCTCAAACCTCCCACACTCCTCTTCCTCTTCATTCTTAGTTGGTGATCTAATCCCATTGTTTACTGAGAAAACAAGTCATCAATCTCGAATCCACTCATCTTCCTCTGACAAACCCATGCTTCCACCTGCAGGTGCACCCATCCCTTCCCCCACCCCCACCACCCTGCCCCCTGCTATGCCTATTACAATGGAGTTAGTGTCCTACTCATGTAAAAAGACAATCCTCATTTGTGCTCAATGACTTTGCTCCTTCTTTAATAGTCTCTTTCTTATTTTCTCTCTCTCTCTATCTTTCTCTCCTGAAGCATTTCCATCAGTATCCCTCCTTATACCAACTACCTCACTTTTTATTTATTTTTTTTCAACTTCTTAAGACTCATGTACACATGCTTCCTTTCCTTTCTCATGTTTCATCAGACTTCGACCCTCACCCATCAGTCCATCAGAATGGCCTTGTCAAGTTTGTCTAAGATCTACACATTGCCAAATACAAGGTTCACTTTTTTCTCGTTGTCTTTTATAACTTCTGGGAAGATTCTGGAATTCTCTTTTCCGTGAAACACTTCTTTCTTGGTTTTTATAACACTATCCTTTCAGAATATTGTATTTCAGAATGTTGTATTGTTCACTCTCTTATTCTTTTTTGTATTTCTCACCTACTCAACTTTAAAAAAAAGTTTTTTAATAATTTATTTTTGTTACAGATGTTCCTCCCCCAGAAACCCTCTTTCTGATTCCACAGCCCCCCCCCCCCACACACACACACACAGCATTGTTGTCTGTGTCCATTGGTTACACATACATGCATGTAAGTTCTTTGGTCTATCTCATTCTTCCTCCCCACTCCCCTCCTCTAAGGATTTTCAGTCCGAACCGTACTCCTTTCTATGTCTCTGGGTCTATTTTGTTCATCAGCTTATTTTGTTCATTATATTCTGCAAATAAGTGAGATATGTGGTATTTGTCTTTCTCTGATTGGCTTATTTTGCTTAGCATAATACTCTCTAGGTGCCCCCATGTCGTTTAAAAAGATAAGAGATCTTTCTTTTGTACAGCTGCATAATATTCCATTGTATATATGTACCACAGTCTTTTTATCCACTCATCTATTGATGAACACTTGGGCTGTTTCCAGATCTTAGCAATTGTAAATAGTGCCACTATGAACATAGGAGTACATACACTTGTTCTGATTGGTGTTTCAGCCTTCCTAGGATTTATCAACTTTAAATGGTGATGTTCCCCTAAGGTTTGGTCCCAAGACCTTTTTTCCTAACACTACACACTGTTTCTATAAGACCTCATCCAAGCCCCTTTTTAAAATGTTCAAAATTTGCCTGGCTGTTGTGGCTTAGTGGTTGAGTTTCGACCCATGCACCAAGAGGTCACAGGTTCAATTTCTGGTCAGGACATATGCAGAGGTTAAGGGCCCAATCCCCAGTGTGGGGCATGTAGGAGGCACCCTATTGATGTTCTCTCTCATTGCTGTTTCCATCTTTCCCTCTCCCTCCCTCTCTCTCTAGAATCAATAAAGAAAAAAAAAATATTTTAAATAAATAAATAAAATGTTCAAAATTTAACTTAAAATTTTACCACCCAAATTTCCCTCATTCCAGTGAATATGACCCCATTGACCCATTGCTTAAGCTAGAAACTAAGTACTTCTTCTGGATTTCATTCTTTCCTTCACCCCTTACATTCGATCCATTGAATCCTGTTTATTCTATAATAAAAATATATCTCAGTCCATCTAATAGCTTCCATCTGCATCTGCTACAACCCTACCAGAACTGCCTCTTAAGTAGTCTCTCTACTTCCATACAGATCTTCTTCAAGCAATTTTCTACATATGATCCAGGTGGCCTTCTAAAATATAAATTAGATTAAGTAAATTCTTCATTTTAAGAATGTTAATGTATTCTCATTGCACATGCTAGAATAGCCTACAGGGGCCTGCTTGATCTGGCATGAAAGATGATGATGGAAAGATGGTGGTGGTTTGAACTAGGGTAGTTCTAATAAAGGTGAGAAGAAATAGATTAAGGAATTGCTTTGACCTTTCTTTGCAACTGATATTTACTCTGACTGAAACATTTCCTCCTCATTTTCTTATGGTTGCCTCCTTTTATCTTTAGATAGCAATTTAAGTATCATTTCCTCAGAAATTCTGTTTTTGACCAACTTGTTCACTCATTCATCATTTTTTTATTCACTCTGCAGATGAATGCCTAATAATTGTGCCAAGTAGTGATGATATGACAGTGAACAAAACAGTTCTTCTTGTGATGGAGTTTATGTTCAGGATAGGGAGCGACTAGAAGAAGTCTAACAATAAACAAGTAAACATATCATGAGTTAGATGGAAGAAAATGGTCAAGAGAAAAT